GTAATTATTTTGATTTTAATAGATCTGTACTCTGTCCTTTATGTAATAAAAACTATAAAAAGGAAAATATAAGAAATTATATAGAGGGTATTTGGGGTAGTGGTGAATATGTTAATACAAAAACTTATTGTCTCTATTGTTATATAAATAAATATCAAAATTTAATCCCAATAGTAATAGTTAAAGCATAGGTTAATAAGTAGAGCCCATTCACATAATCAGTTAAAAAAAATAGTGAGCTCACGGGATCTCTCTCTTTATTTAATAAAACATTGTTGTCGAATATTATATAAATAAAATATATATTTATTATATAATAAAAAATGCCCTTAACGAGTTAGTAGGGTTTACATTTGATCTAACATTTCTTCCTGCTAACCAGGATTTAACTAATCATTATCATCATTGTCCCTATCACACTTTAAGTTTTCTTTTGACATTTTTCCTCAGATCTCATCATAAGATAAAAATTCTCTCAGCTTGTATTGTCATTTTGATTTAAAATAGTTGAGGGTCTTATTTTTCTTATTTTTAGAGATAGTAGTTTTTTTGTTACTGCTCATTTTTCGTACCTAAATACAACAAACAAAGTAAGCAAAAATTTGTTTTCATAGTCTCCATTAAATGAAATAGCAAATTACTTTAAAAATAAATTACGAGCAAATGAACCAAGAAAATATATATGAGCAAAAAGTAACGTTATTGCTAACTTATCTTACAGATAGGAACTTGCTTATTTTATATCGTTCATTCATTAGATCTTAGAACCTACCAGAAAAAAAAAGTACACGATTAGTAAGTAAATAACAGAATAAAGCAGAATAAAGCAACTCTGCTCAGTCATAAGTTCTAAATACTGATCTATTTTGTCATTTTTTCTAGTAAATTAACCCCCCTTAGATTCAACAATCAGTACTATGAAGTGAAAAAAGTTAATGATCTCAACAATCTGTGAAATTTCAAATTCCTGTAACATATGAATTTTGATAAAACTACTGATTAAGAACATTATATGTATTACCCTTATAGCCTTTTTAGCTTCAAAGAAATGCTCTCTAAGATAAGTCTCATTCTTATCATGGGATCATATAAAGTAAGGCTTTCTAGATATTGTATTCATTATAAATCAACTGTAAGAATTAATTCTGTAGAAATGTAGTACAAACTATTCAAGTAACTTGTATTATAAACTTTATTTTTTATGCAATATTTTAATACTATAACAGTACGATTTATTTTTATTCATAAAATCACATATTGAATATCTACGTGATATTTTATACACGAGCGAATCAACTATCATAGGATATAGGAATATTTATAGCTTAGAGGCCCCTAAAAACAAATATGAGGCTAATCCTCTTCATTTATATTTTCTATATAGGAAGGTGATTGGCTACCTTCTATATCGAGCATACTAATATCACTATTGTTTTGTGATACAGATATATTAGGAGTTGAGGTAGTATTTATCAAATTAGATAATGAATATGTCACATTATCTAAATTTCTACCTATATCATTAGTGTTATAGTCTGAATTCCTATCTGCATCATTTACATTATTTATATTATCTTAATTAGTAGTTTCGTCTCTTTTGGTGAGAATTCTCTGGGCCAAGAATGCAAATCGATCTTTTTGATCAGTAGGAGATTCACGACGACTCATATTTAGTATTAATGAAACTTCTTTGTAAGTTAGTAGTAAAGTATGGTTTTGTCGTCTTTTTTCTCTTCTTCTTTTTGAGAATGTGTTTACGTTATGTATCTAATCAAACTGTATTTCTAGATTTTTTTTATACATAATTAACAAATTAATAATTTGTTTCTATTTCAAAGACATCTACAGCAAAGGCAGATGAATATTCGAGATTAATGTAGAACCTTATCTAGTCTTTCCTAAAAATGTGAATGGAATTCTTCAAAGTATCGTACTCCAGTTCTGGTTCTACGTCCTACACAATTTCCTGCTATATATTAGCACATCAACTAAAGAGGATCAAGAAAATCATTAGGTTATAATTTAATTATAGTTCAATCTGTTAATAAGTACCTTCAGTAAAAATACTTACAGTGTGATCCCTTACAAGATTTTGAAATTTACCCTTGTATTGATATCCTGTATAGTTGGTACTAAATTTCTCATTAATTATATTCACAATATTATTCCAAAAACTCACTTTATTACTTCTAGGAATATTGTGATACTCGGCATTTCTATTTCTTCTTTCAGCAATTAATAAGTGCAATTGATCATTGGTCTACATTACTAAGATTCTAATATGACTTAACTGCAATACACCTGTTTTTCATAGAATTATATAGAAAAAAAATACTGCAACTCAACTGTGACTTAACAGTGATTAGTATCATTAGCTGACACAACCAAATTAATCATCAGATAATCACGGTATAGTATCCTAAAGAAGTATGATTTTTATTATATCTCAGACTGGGTGATCCAAAATAAAAAATTTCATATGGAATAGAAATCGAAAGGAAGAAGTAAGTGGTTAGAATTACATTAAAAATTTATTAATATACATACATTAAACAATGATCTAAAGGGTTGAGTCTCCGATTTTCTGTAACATATAGCATAATATATAAAAATCAGATAAGTATAAAACTAATTTCAGGTTTGGTGATTAATTCATTCACGAATTAATTAGTATAATCTGGAAGTTGTTCAATCTTCTGTTGCTTTTGATTTTATAGGCTTCTTTGATTTTCTTCTTTGGTATGGCATATGATATATATTACGAAGTAATAGCACTTACGTGCCTGATCAAATATATGTATTACACTCGATTTTATTACTAGTATTATGGCTTTGAGAGAGCAAATATTTGTAATCGACATGATCAATGTTTACGCATATATGATTTTTATTCACATGAGAAAAAATGAATTGCAATATTTATTAGTATATAGTTATTAAATCAAATAGATCTAAATCCCTAAATATGATATAAATTATATAATCTCTAAAACACTATAATATGTTAAATTACTTAATCATTAAATATAGTCTATACAGATAATTGTACAGTTTTAAATGATATCAAGTAGAAGAATAACTGCTAATTTCCAGTAATTCGTGATGAGGAAACACCATCTAATTAGAAGAACTGAATCTGGAATCAATTAGTGAATTATAGAAATAACAATAAATTGACTGATTACAATAAGTGATATCTTATTGCTAGAAAGATAGAATCTACAGAAGGATTTAGTTATCATATAGCTATTAAAGTGAATATTGCTATATGTTATAGCTATGATTAGTTAGTTTATGTTGATAAAAGAGTAGGATATGAATTATATCATAATTATAAGATGGAGGAACATTGGCGTACAAATTGTACTAGAAATAGATATTATGATATATATTTTAAAGAGTATATAGAGTTTAAACAAAAACTAGAAGTTGAAAGCAATATTTATACAAGGTTAGCTATTTATCAATATAAATTACGAATAGAGAATCTTATCAATAGAGTTAAACATATTCGAGAAATAGCAAAAAAAATCCGAGCATATACAACTATACAGAGAAAATGGCTAGAGTATTTCTACAGACCTGAAGGTATGTATGCAACAGAACTTGCTCAACATTATAAACTCCTATAGAGTATTCGAGAAGAGATATGTCAAATTAACAATATATAAACTGTATCTGCAAAGCAATTTATATATTTATTTGATTTAATCTATTTATTTGATTTATTAATTATATAACTTATTCATATATATATCTATTTAAAATAAAACCATCTAAAGTATTCCTTGAGGGCTAGTACTTTAAACTTTATTTTGTTATCTTTGAGGGCTAGTAATATTTTTTACTTTGATTTTTCATATCAACCTATTTTACTCAGCACAAAAATCTCCTTAGTACAAATAAACTACAGAATTTATTTATTTTTTAATATCTACTTCAACCTCAATCAGGCTAGATACTAATAGCTATTTTATTAGAGAATAGTAGCGAATAAGATACTAAAAATATTCACCTCAATTTAAATACTAGGTAGGCTAGATAAGTACATCTTCTCAATTATATAAGAAGTGGCGAGTAGGATATATTTATATTAATAGAATAAAATTACAACTGAAAAATATTCGATTATCAAACTAACTATATAACAGAACCCAATCTAATATTAGCTCTAGTGCTAGTTGTTTGCTTAATAAAAAGTAGATTGATTCATCAGAAATAAACAGACATTTCTTTGCATTAAAAACTAGTAAATTAGAACAGTGGTATGCAATTTCATATATTGTTTTATCAGTGATATAAATATATTGAAAACTAAGATTCTGAATATCTGAACATGAATGAACTATATTATATACAGTATCATCTGTAATTTTATAACATGAAATAAGACTAATATTTTGTAGGTTTTTATTTAAATCTGCAATTTTTTTGATTGATTTGTCAGTAATCTGTTCACAGCTTTCGAGAAAATAATTTCACATATCTAGATAGCCAGTTGCAATTACATATATAGCTTCATCCATAATTATTTTATTGAATGACAAATCCAGGTGTTGAAGATTTACATATGAGTATGCAATTGCACAAATTGATTCATCATTAATAGAAGGTTGTCCATTGAGATTTAAATATACTAGATTGGAATAAGATCATGCTATTTCAATCACAGATATACTGAAAATATTACTATTTCTATACAAAGAAACAAGACTTATGTATTTTAAATTTGGACAAGATTGTGCTATTTCACTAACACATCTATCAGTAATAGCTGTACACATATCAAGACTCAAATGTAGTAGCTTTGGACAATATTTTGCAATTTCTATAATTGGTATATTACTAAAACCATGACTTTGATCGAGGATGAGAAAGTTTATATCTGGACATGAATGCAGAATTGTACTGAGTAATTTTTCTGAGATTTTTAAACCCACCAATTTGAGATATACCATCTTTGAGCAATATGAAGGTTTTGTCTTTTCACACATAACTCTTTTAAACTTTCTTAATTGCTAATAAAGAGGTTCAGACGTATCTTTACTATACCGATTCTGCTGATAACCTTCTATAGAAAACTTAATGTATCTCTATAGAATTAGGACACTGTAGTAATACCAAAGTCTATTGACAAATAATGCTGTATAGAGTGCTTTATCCTTAGCCAAGAAACTAAATATATTTCAAGTAACTCCAGAAGAATAAGAGAGTAACTCATATTTAGTTCTTTATATAAGCATAGATAGTATAAAAGATTAAAAATTCATTGCATCTCTGAAATCTCAATCTGGTTAGATAGAATGTTTATTATCTTTTAATTTCTCAATCTCTTTTTCTAGATCAAGAGGGGTGTCTCATCGAAGTGAGAAAGACTTAGATTGGGTTTATTCAGATCTATAACTATAAACTCTTTTTGCCTCAAATAACCATCAATAATTTTTGAAGCTTTTCGCAGATCTACATCAGTATAAGGACTTATAATATCTGCAAGTTTACAAATAGAGCCTCTATCATTAAAGAGAACAATGTGAGTAGCATTTTCGCAAATATCTATTAGGATTTTGTGGAATTTCTAAGTAACATAAATTGAAGAAATATTCTCATGACGACCTCGAGTGAAAAATAGAATAATTTTTTTCTGTATAGCTAGGAGGTCAGAGTAAAGATCTTCAAATATTGCTAATGTACTTCTTTTGCATTAAACTTTTTGGAATCTGGGATTTTATCAGGAGATAGCATAGAAAATAAGACATCTTCATAATAGGGCTTTGATTTGTCTTGGGCAAGATATTTACCGTATATTACCGAAAATAAGCACCCCTTCAGAGGATTTTTTATAGCCAAATTTCTCGTGATCTAGAAATCAGATCTGCGTAATTTCGGTACCATTCGAATTAAATTATCAAAACAATTCGAATGGTACTGAAATTACGCAGATCCGATTACCAGATCACGAGAAATTTGGCTATAAAAAATCCTCCGAGGGGGTGCTTATTTTCGGTAATATACGGTATAAAAATCTCTAACTATTTTATATTTTAGCTCATTTAAATGATGTTCAAAAGAAATACATCATCACATTTAATATTACATTCCCCTATCTTGCTAGAAGCAGTAACTTTGTTGCTAGAATGCTTTTTTTTCTTAAATATGTAATAAAATTTAGGCATTGTTAGCAAGTTTAAATTCATATTGGTTTTATCAGAATTGCTAGCCTCTGCTATCATGATATGAAAAGGCTATGCTAGTGCATCTTTACTCCCTGGTATTTTTTTGAAGGTTTTACCTCATCTATAGCAAATATACAATATAATATTTTTTTGTTATAAATATATATTATGTTTTTTTATTCTAACGAATAATCTGATTTTGACATGCTATTTATATCTATATTTTGTAGATAACCTTTCTCTTGCAATTTGCATTTTATGTATGAGAATAAATCAGCACCATAGGTATTTCAATAAGATCTATATCTTGCTCTTTGCATATTTCCTACTTTTTTTGATCCTTCCATCTTTGCTCATCCAAATCAATCCTCTCTCATCTATAAAACATTGGATTCTCAGAATAATGTTGGGATCTTTGGTATTCAAAAGCCAATTTTAATTCCTTGTTATAATCATCCAAATACAACTTTCCAAAAATTTATCTGAACATGATAGAAATTTTTTATCAGCAAATCTTTAAATATATATTGACAACTGCGCTCTTTAGTATGATAGCAAATCAGACACTACTCAAATTTACGCTTCTGGGTCTTATAAGGTGCTTCCCACTAATGAAGTCCTTTTTCACAAGACCAGAGATATATATTGAACCTATTTATATGACTAGTTTTACCAAGACATTTCTCCTCACGCTTCTCAGCATATTGTTAAGTCTTGGCCATTTTATTAATAATATGAATAAAATTAATTGATCTGGAATGAATGTTTCCTTCTAATATACTCTGAGGTGGGTACTGCAAAGTATCAAGATCTACATACATGAGCTCTTCTCACACAAATCTCCGCTTTGGTATAAACTCTTCACCTTTGAGATAATATAAGATTAGTTTATTTTTTGTTACAACAATTTTTTCAATTTTAAATAAAGTTGGACTCCATATTATATCTGTCGCATGTCTCTGATTTTTTATACCTCCTTCCTATTCTGCATTAGCAAGTAGATAATGAACAGAGTCTCTTTTCTTTAACCTATTCTCTTCATTTTTCCTAACAGGACATTTATATTTTGTTGATGGCCTTGATTCGACCTTAGCTAATTTAATTGCTTTTATAGATGCTAAACCCCATATTGATAAACTTGAAGCTCAAATAAGATGTGTCGGATAATTATTTAGATAATTGATAACTTCTGACAAATACTTAACCTACTCTTTTATTAATTTATAGTTCGAAGTTATACTTTCAACAGTATATTAAATCTTATAAAGCATCTTTGCTAAAGTTTTATTAAATCTCTCTACAATTGCTGTATCATAATGAGAATACAGACCAATAACTCAAATTACTACACCATGTTCTTTTATTAGTTAGCTTGTCTGTTCTGCCCATTCTTTACTATTATCATATTGTAAAAGTGTCGAGTATGTAAAAGGGTTATTGGGATTATTATAAATGTTTCTGAATGCTTTAGCAACCTCTGAACTTTTCTTCGATATGAGAGAAATACTCGCTTTGAACCTGCTAGCCATGTCTATAATTTGTAATACTGCTTTCTATGTTTTCTCCTTATATTTATCATATGTAAGAAATAAGAGGTCATATTGATGTACACAATTTTGTTTCTGAATTTTACCATAACTAACTCGTAGTGTATCTTTTGATAATAGAGCATATTTTTGCCCTTCATTCTGGTTTGTAAGCCACTCATATACCTTTTTATATAGAAACTGATTTCTCTCCGCTTTAAGATCTTTTCATAGTTTTTGAGAGTTGAAATGATACCCTGTAGGCTAATAGAATAATAACTAATAAACTAGGGCCAATTCCTTATTAGTACTGATTACGATACTAGGTTAGTTCATTTTCAATACATTTTATTATATCAATAAATTATTATTTGGCAAAGTTTCTGGAAAAGTCAATATATTATAGGCTTGTACAATGTCATTAAATACAGTAGTGTTCCTACCTAGTGAAATAATCAAAAAATTCATAAGTGCTTTATCAGTAATACAAACTCGGGTTTGCAAATTACAACAGGATCTAAGCTTAAAAGAGGATTATATTAAATATCTAGAAAAAGAAATTTTGGTTCAAGATGAAGAACAAGGTCTATTGTGATTAGAAATTTCTAATCTTATAAAACAGTTAGGAAATGTATTTAAAGAGTCTGAAAAGTAAGAAAATTATATAGATTATTTAGAAAAGCAGTTAGCATTTTTTCAAAAAGAAAATGACAAGCTTAATAAAAAAATAAAAATGTTTATTTCATATAAAAATAGCAATGATACTATAGCTTCAAAAAACTATAGCTTTGCTATAAATATGACATAACCAGGATTACTCTGATTATCTTTGTCTAAAAACCAAGCTACGATTCAGAATCATAGAATTTAGCAAGAGGTTGATAATATTAGATGGTATTTTCAAAGCCTAACTACAATAACACTTACAATAAATGGCATCGTAGATTATCTTAATATAATTTCTGATGCCGGAAATAGGCTTGAAAGAATATCTATTTTTTTGCAGTAACTTTACCTTCTTTTTATCACTATTTATGTTTATACCCATTTTGTTATCTGAATCTGAATCGCAAAATAGGGAGCCAAATTTTCTATTTTGTTTAATTATAGTGCTATGTATAAAAATATGACACTATGACATATGCCTGCGAGAACCAGAAGATTCCTGTGAACTAAAATGTTAAATCTAAAAGCAATAGCTTGCTCCTGTTTTGCATGTATTATTAGTTTTAACTCAGAAAATACTAATTGTCTATCTTCAAATGTTCCAAGTGGGTACACAATACAGAGCGAATTGTGGTAGTCTTTTAGATTATGATAGAACTGACAAATAGCATTGAAATTAATTGCTATAGTAGGAAAGCTTCTAATGGATTTAAGGACGTTTAGTCTAAGATCAAGTTTTCTCATTTTTGTATACAAGGCCGAATATGTTTCCTTAATATAACCATTAACAGCATCTGATAATAGTTGAAGGCCTTGTATTAATCCTTGAATATATTTTAAATGACCCTAGTTGTGAGATGAGGCAGTATTTGATGTTGTATAAGGTTCATTATTATTACACGTAAAAGTATCAAAATGCTTAACTAATTCTTTTAAAAATTCTTTAGACTGGTGAGACAGATTATCAAGTATGTGAACTTAGTATTGTTTCACTACTATCTTTGCACTTTTGGTGACTCTGGAACTCTGAAAAGTATATAAATCTACTATCGTTTCTCCAAGAGTATTCTTAAAACATTGTGGATCGAATATATAGTGATACCCTTTTATATTGATATCTTCCTCAGATATCTTATCAGTTAATACACTAGCAATAATTTGTTGTCTTTTAAATTTCAACAAAGTGCCTCAGATATTGTTGTTTGCTTTAGCAAAACTTTTCTTGCTTTTACATGTTGCTGATATGCATACTTTATCTTAGACCAGAAGCACTAACAATGGTTATGAATCTGCTTTACAATGGAAGGACTGATTGCAAAAAATGCCTACAAAGCGAATTGCTTCTATGCTAAATCAGAATTTTTATTTGTGGGTTTGGTGTGATCAAAAATTTCTGATTCTAGTAAATCAATAAATTCAGCAGGTATTTGAAAGGTAGTTAAAATGGGATAAATAATTTGTGTAGTTTGGGGTGGTAGTGATCTTTCTGAATTGTATAATTCACTCTAAATATTTTCTAGATCAAATTTGAAAAGAGCATCATATTTAAGAGAAAAGATGTTTTGCTTTACAGCATCCAATGAAAGCAATTCT